AGGAATGCGGGAGAAGGAAGAGGAAGTGAAGGGGAGAGCTTAAAGAATGGGAGCAGGAAGAGCCAGGAAGGGGTGCGAGGCCTGTGCGGTGAGGAGGAATGGGGAAGGGCCCTAACAGCTGGCTTCATCTTCTTGGGGACTTGCTTGTGCAATTACACTTAGTTGTCAAAAAGAGTTGAATTCAGGGTCCTTCCCCACCACGATCTCATTCCTGAAAAACCTGCTGTCCTTTGGAAGTAAGAGTTTCAAAGAGGGTGGTCAACATGCCCAATGTAATAAGGAAGTTTGAAGTAGTAGGCTGAACGTGGTTAGAAGATGAGACGAGGCGATGTAATGCTGCGTGTGAGCACAGTGGGGAATGGAAGCCAGGCCACCAGCAAATCAAGCGGGCAGGGTACATCGCTGCTGTTCTAAGACAGTATTTATTTTTGCTTAGACTCCTGTAAAGGCTGATTCGCTGGTCGTACGACTTTTATGAATGATTTTTTGAGTCTCGTAAAAAGCTGTCCATTTTTCTAGTAGTTATTATTGCCATGTTTAGAGCATTTTAAACATTGTCCCAAGGCTTTGGAGTGTGGCCTCCCAAAGCACCTTCGCTGTCGCACCCTGGCCCCTTACAGCAGCCTCCCTGGTCCTCCTGGAATCAGACATACCACTTAACAGTCAGCAGATACAAAGACAGCCAGCGTCTGGGAGCTCATACCTCTGTGGGGACCCCCACCCCTTTCCCAGTGGTGGAGACGGTACTAAGAAACAAACTAAACAGGGCCTCCTGTTAGTTTTCCATTATAAACCTCCCAGACCCTCTCTGCACAAATGCTGAGGCTATAAAGCTTGTTTAAGTGTCAATATCTGTCTAACAAACTATCCACAAATTCCCCAACTAAGTGGATGCTAACAGTTTTTTACTTTCTTAATAAGTTCGCCAGAGGGCATGTGCTCTAGCCAGAAAGACAGGGAGGGAGGAGAGAGCACTTTCAACAGGTATGGTGATCGCTCTGTCCCAATCCCTTCGCCTCCATTTCTTCACTCTGTCGGGAGGTGGGGCCTGCATGCACACGTACCTGGCATGTTTTTCGAGATGCGCTAGAGCAAGGATTTGAATTGCACCTGGCCCTGTGGAATCTGTCTCCCTTAACCACCAGACTACAGGGCTGGCACAATGCTAACTGTTTTAAAAGAAACTAAAAGTGAAAATGACTCCAAGTCAAACAACCATCCTTCCTTCCAGTATTTAACATTTTTCACTGAATTGGCAAAGTGACATTAACATAAAGCTATAACAGTAAAGCAACATTAACATAATTTGTCATTATTTTGATAAGCAGCTCATATTAAATATAAAAAGTTAAGTCAACAGAGCTAAAGGAAAAACAACTGAGAATAGAAAGACATTTCTATTTTATCTTCAAAAGTAGTTCCAATCATTTTTTCTAGTTTCTATCATTTATTTCCTTCCTAATACTCATTCACTTACTGCTTCAAGTGAAGAATCACCATCCTGAGCCATTCCTTGCTGCAGAAGCTTCTAGTTTTGACAGTAACTCTGAAGACTATTTAAAAACAAAAGCAAAAGCACTTTTATCATTTTATTTAGCAATTCATTTCCTCATATCATTTAAAATTTATGAGAATTAGGAAGGGAAATAAATACAATATTGCTGTATAAAGTTTTAAAAAGGATATTTTAGATTTTCACATTTCATGTACATTTCCATCTGCTCAAATCATACTGTAATAATTTATAGAAATTTTGCTGACAAAAATTAACACCTAAAGCATTACTCCAAGTGGCATAACAAATCATTTCTGAGAACTATTCTTATCATGTTTTTTAATAATGTCCATAAGATTAGCGCCTGTAACCAGATCACTCTGTGTCTGTTTATCTTTCTGTTGCTCCTTTCTCTTCTGGTCATGAAGGTAAGGAGAGTTTAGTAACTGTGGGGGAAGAATGGATCCTGTGGGTTTTACTCTTTTTGCAACATCCCAGAAGAGTCTTTTTGAATTATTATTGATGAAAGTAATCGCTGTTCCATTTTGACCTAATCTCCCCACTCTTCCAACCTAAAACGAAATGCAGAAGACGTTTTCAGAATGTTTGATGTAAGCTAATTTATCATTACTTTTCAGGCAGGGTCTTGCCATGTCACAATCCTCCTGCCTCAGCCTTCTAAGTAGCTGGAATGACAGGTGCACCTGGCTTCTCGGGACAGGATGGGAATCAAACCTCGGGCTCCCATGTGACCTCAGCATGCCACACAATAGCATTCAGTGTACACTGCCATGGCTGGGCCTAATGAATTTTCATATAAAGTTATTTCTCATTTTGAGAGGTAACTCAGAATTTGTAATTTGTAACGAAGAATCCACCATAATGCACAAAATTTAATTGTTTTCAAATACGTTATGAAAATATACTAAGAAACTTTTCATAAGGGGGGAAAATACAATCATGGTCAACTTACACTCAAATGAAATGTAAAACTTAAAGTATTTATTCAGACTATTTAAATAAATAATAGACGGTTCATGCTAATTTTAATACCCTAAAAGAAGAAATTTCTAGAAAAGTTGAAAGTGGTAGCTGCTAGATAATCTGAATGGGGAGAAGTAAGGCAAGTGAGCACTGTTTTCTTATTTTAAATAATTAATTTTATTTATTATCATTATTATTATTAAAATTCTGCTATAGGGCACGTGTGCTCACCAGAGAGAGACAGAGACAGAGAGGGAAAAAGTGAGAAAGCAAGCTGCCAGGTCCAGAACTCAAATCACAGTCGACCATGTGGGAGACCAGCATCTTCACTACCATGCCACCTGCTGGCCTCTGAATACTATTATTTAAGTATCGGCTTTTATTGTTATCTAACTATATGAGGGGGCTTCAAAAAGTTCGTGGAAACATGGACTTTAAAAATACCTCTTCATTATGGTATAAAGCATTTGAAATCCATGTGCAGTTTTCTCATAGTGTGCATTCTCCATGAACTCTTTGATGATCCCTTTACGTGACTGAAGGGTTCCAATAAAAATTAAAATTAATATTAAAAATAAGTGCAACCACAGAACGGGAAAAAAACATTTGCAATCATGTGTCTGGTAAGAGTCTTCTGAATATACGGAAAAGTTTATAGTTCAGTAATAAAGACAACCCAATTTTAAAGAGGGCAAAGGATTTAAACAGCTATTTCTGCAAAGAAGATATTCATAGCCAGTAAGTACAAGACATGTTTATTAGACACTAGAGAAATGTAAATCAAAACATAAGAAGGTATCACTGCGAATTATAGCCAAAAAAAGATGATGATGATGATGATAAAGAAAGCAAGGCACAGAACAGCTGGCATAGTATGGTCCCCCTTACATAAAAAAGTGACAGCATGCACCCCTGTATTATGTGTACGTGTGTGTGTGTGTGTGTGTGTGTGTGCGTGTGTATACATTTATATTTTCTGCACTACCAGCTGTGGTAACCATTCAAAGATAGAAAAGAGTAGGAAAACAAAGACGTCATTGTATACCTTTGCACTATTGGTTATCATGTGCGTATGTACTCAATTACTAAAGGAAACAAAAACACCCAGATACAGAACTAGAAAATCAGAAGGATCCTGGGACCAGCAATTGGTGTAATGGCTATGTTGCTGGACTCCCATGTAGTCAACTGAGGTTCAAGTCCCGAACCCGGTGGCTTAAACTCACGCTGGGTGTGGGTGCATGCATGCGTGTCCAAAATGCTGAGAGGAGAATGGAGGAGAAGGGATTGCAGCATGGCCATCCCCCGGGAGGTGATTTCTCGCTTTCTGTCTGTCTCTTTCTGTCTTTCTGGTGTTCTGGTGAGCTCACAGCCCCTATGGCAAAAAAAAGAAAGAAAGAAAAAAAAGAACAAAGAGGGATCTGAAGACATCCTAAATGGAGGTAAGAAGGTCTACATAGTTCAACGAGGCCTGAGGCTAGCAAGGTACACTGTAAGTAATTAAGAGCCATGAAGTTGACCCTGAAATGGCAAAAAAAAAAAAAAAAAAAAAGCAAGGAGGGGGGTTAAAAAAATTATAATCTGCACACTCTGTTAAAAAGCAAAGTTTCTGGGGCCAGCAGGTTAAGGTGCTGGACTCTCACATGGCTGACCACAGTCTGAGTTCCGGACCTGGCGGCTTGCTTTCCCTTTACTTTCCCTTTCTCTCTCTGGTCAAATCAACAACAATAATAATAACAATAATGACAACAAATAAAATAATTCTTTAAAAAAAGCAAAGTTTCTTAAATATTTTAGAAATATTTCCATCTAAAATTAGTAAACCTTTGAGGGCTGGCCCCATGTTCTAGTGGTTAAGGGAGTCAGACCCCTCATAACCAACTACATGATTCAAATCCCAGCCCCAGTGGCTTGAAAAGCATGCCAGATGTGTGTGCATGCATGCCCTCAATCCCAACAGAATGAGAAATGGAGGAGAGGGGACTGCGGTGTCACCATGTCCCATCATGGGATGCTTTCTCCCTCTCTGCGTCTCTCTCTAGTAAGTGCACATGCCCTGTGGAAAATGAAAAAAATAAATAAATAAAAGAAGAAAACATTTATATGTAGAGAAAGAAGTACTGCTCTATTACTAAGTCTAAGTAGAAACAAAGCAACAATGCATTAAAGGCACTATCCGCATTTCAGTGGGTGATTCAAGTAAATGTGGCACTCGGAGGTGATTCTAAGAACCTCAAAGAAAGGCTTTACTTGAAGAGTTGGTAAGTGACGCCCAGGGAGGAAGACAGGTAGCAGTCAGTGAGATAACGAGGCGCTAAAAGAAGGCTCTATGTCTGCTAGAAAGAGAAGCCATTGTTACCTCTGGCAGCAAAAGAAAGGAACAAAGCTTTAAAAGGTGAAAGACTAGAGCAAATAAGGATATGAAGAGATGAAGACGAGATTCCTAAAAAAAAAAAACCCAGATGCTTTAAAGGGTCTCTTTTATTTTGGCCAGATACATCAACTTAAAATGATCTTTTTAAATAAAGCTTCTTTTCCTGATGGTAAAAGCTATTAATATGCTCACTGAAGCAAATAAGATAAAGTGAAAATAAACCAAAACTTTACTAATTTTTTTTTTTAACTAACATTTTAGGTTACTTACTCTCAGCCATTGTCTAAATGCATTTTTTTAAAGTTAAAATATAGGGTCCAGCAGTAGCATGGTGGTTAAGGCAGCTGGACTCCCACATGACCAACTGCCGTTTGAGTTCTGGATCCAGCAGTTTGAAAATCACGCCAGGAGTGTGTGTGTGTGTGTGTGTGTGTGTGTGTGTATATGTGTGCGCATGTCCGAAATACCAGAAGGAATTATGGCGTGGCTATCTAGTTTGAAAATCACGCCAGGAGTGTGTGTGTGCACGCGTGCGCATGTCCAAAATACCAGAAGGAATTGTGGCGTGGCTATCTCCCCCCACCCCGGGGGTGATTTCTCACTTTCCCTCTCATTGTCTCTCTTTTTCTCTCTGAGATACATGAGTGCATGCATGCACCCTATGGCAAAAACCTTTTAAAAAAAAAAAGCAAGAAAGAAAAATATATGAAGTTCTACATTCTGCTTTTTCTTTAATAAAAGAATTATTTTATTTAATTTGACCAGACAGGGACAGCATGAGAGAGAGGGAGAGAGGGGGAAAGTAAGAAAGCAAGAAAGCTGCCAGATCTGGGACTTGAACCACAGTCGGCCATGTGGGAATATAACACCCCTAACTATCATGCCACCTGCCAGTCCCTACGTTCTGCTTTTTTTTTTTTTTTTTTTAACATCACCTTGACAATGCCCTTCCCATTAACTCTCTTGAACAAAACTGTGGTTACATATAAGACCTCTTACCTGATGCACGTACTCATCCATGCTTGAAGGCATATCAAAATTGACAACCAGCTTGACACTGATCAAGTCCAGGCCTCGTCCCAGGACTCCTGTGCTCACTACAACTTCGTAGTCTCCTTCAAGTAATCCCTTTCCAAAAAAGCAGTTAAATTTACTGTTCAGAATATATTTCCTGTGGTTTTATGTAACTCTGACATTTTATTTGATCAATGCTTGTTTCAATGTCTTTCTTGCAATATCTTTTCAAGAAGTAAAGGTCTTATTACACGTGAGAAATTGGCTTAAATAAAAGGTCTTAGTATACCTGAGAAAGTAGCTTAAAGTCTCAACTCCCAGGGAAGTTATTCTATTAATTTAGTCAGGGAACCTTTTCCAAAGGTGAATTACTTCTGCATCCCAGTACAAACTGACCTGATTTCAAAACTGGTGAATTCTGAATTAGTAATCTATTTAGTACATAATCCCAGAGGACAGGCCTAGAGTTTCCCCAGCTGAAGCCTGAGCAAAAGGAACCGCCGACTTCAGGATCACAGCTTGCCTGAAGTCCCTGCTGTCATTAAAAACCAGCGCGCAATAATGTGACTCTTAAAAAGGAGGCAAAGCAGGCTTACAGGAAAGAGACGATACAGAAAGTCGAGTGCCAAACCTTCAGTATGTTTTTCCTTTCTGTTTGTGACTTCTCCGAGTGTATAGATGTGCTTTTCAGGCCCGTGATTTTCTCAACTGCCTCACTCAACAGATCTGCTCCCAGCTTGCAATCCACGAATACTAACACCGGGGGCTTAAAGAGTTTCTTATCCTGAAAAATTAAAAACATACATTTAAAAGTATTCATATAATGTCATTTATAGTGCAGAGTTTTTCTGAAAGCATTAGTATAAGCTAGTTACCAATAGGTTTAAAAAATCTTAAGGAAGAAAAAAGGAATAGTCTGTTAAAATGAGTGTTTTATTTATTTATTTATTTTTTGAGAGTGAGAGATGTTTGCTATAGGGCACGTGTGCTTGACAGAGAGAGAGAGAGAGAAAGTGCGGGGAGATGGTCACGCCACAATTCCTTCTCCTCTTTCCTCTTGAGATTTTGGGCACGTACACACACAGGCCAGGCATGCTACAAGCTGCTGGGTTCAGGACTTGAACCACAGTGGGTCATGGGAGTCCAGTGAAGTAATCATTATGCATCTGCTGGTCCCAAAATGAGTGTTTTCTTAAAATATGCACAAACAGAGCTAGTCTACTAGCTGCTTCACATTTCTCTCACTTCATTAATATTTCAAAAATAATTCAAAACATTTAATATAGTGCTAACTACTGCTCATGAGCCAATACAAACCAAATTTGACTTAATATTGGATTTTGCATATCACCCACTTAACAATTCCTGATTAAACTAGTAATAATTAGAAAAACATTCTTAACGACAAAATGGTCCACACTATCTTACCCCCCAACACCATGTGTATATTGTAAAACTACTAAAATTTCTTGAAAGAAAAAAATATTCATTAGTGGGGCCAGCAAGTGGTGTGGTTGTTAAGGTGGCTGGATTCTAATGTAGCCAACCATGGTCTGAGTCCTAGACCTGGTAGCTTGAAAATCACACTTGGTACACGTACGTGCGTGCCCAAAATCCTGAGAGGAGAAAGAACTTTGGCATGGCCATGCCCACTGAGGACTGATTTATCACTTTCCTTCTCTCTGCTCTTTTTTCCCCCTACGGTAAGTGTATGTACCCAATGGCAATAAATAAATAAATTCATTAGGAATAATACTGATATTTAATCATATCTCCGTTAAGGGGAAAAAAACTAATCCTGCATTTAGACGGCATGTTTTCACAAATAAAAATGTATTTGATCCTCACAGAGGTAGGTGAAGCAATTTATTACTAAATACCTATATCAAATTCCCCAAAAGCTGCATCTAAAAATCATTCTCTTCCGAGCTGTGGAAAATGAAAACAATCTACAAAACATTCACTACTTACATTTAAGATTTCAAATAATTTTTTCTTCTTGGCTGGGTCTTCCACCCACAAAATAATCTGACGCACATTGGAGCAAGGTAGGTTCTTTCCTCCGGTGGTAATTCTCACAGGGTCGTGCAGAAGCCGGTTTGCAAGTTGTTCTATGCTAGTTGGAATTGTGGCTGAAACCAAAATGGTCTGACAATCATTAGGAACGTTTTCCAAAATGTCAAGCACTTGCTGTTGAAAGCCCATCTTTAACATGGTATCAGCCTAAAACAAAATGTTTTAAAGTTAGTCCTGCTTGACATTAAAACCCAGAATCATCCAAGAAAAGACTGAATATCATTACAGCATAAAAGATCAGAAACTCCTCCTCAGAAAAATACACCACAATGTCAAAAGCCAAAGGATCAACTGGAAAATACATACATTTGTATAAAATTACAAGCTGTGTAACTGAAGGTTTATAATGATAGGCAAAGATTGCTATTTTAACATTATCGATAGTAGTGTCAACCTAAAATAAACAGATAAAACTTACCCCCAAGACAGTTTATTCAGGAATAGCAAAAAATAGAAATTTGTGATATGCCTGCCAGGGTGGGCCACAGGTGTATCGAAGAGGTTGGGGTAGGGGAAGATTTGAAAAGAAAAAAGAAGTCCACTAACTGCTTTGAAATGAAGACCACCGGTTACAAGGAGCTGCTGTTAGCTTATTTGTGGTGACAGCCATTGTCGGGCAAACATCCTCGTGCAAATGGCGGATGTGGACGGCTGTGGTTCTTAGGAACTCCTTGGAAAGTTTCTGCCACAGGCACACATGAGGGTCTTTCCATCATGGCCTCTGGCTTCACTTTGTTAGGGTTTGACACAGATGACTCCATTTTGGTACTAGTAACCAGCATGGTTTCAACCATACGTGTCCTAAACGTCCATTAATCGAGCAAAGGGTAGTAGGTCATATAACACAACCCATGCTATCGTGAAACATGACCAGAAAGCCCCCTATTAAATAATGGCTGACTGCCAGGAGGGAAAGAAGCAAAGCACGGAAGACTGTGTATAATATCCTATTTCTGTTAGGAAACATTGTATGTGTATACTTCTCAAGAAACCTAACTGCTAGCACTGGAGAGAAGGCAAGAAGGCTATTCAGGGACAATTTCACTTCTTATTTTTATTTTTTCAAAGCTTGATTTTTTTTACCATAAACAAATGCCGTACTATTTTTTTTTTTGAGAGATTTTCACTGTAGGGCGCGTGCGCTCGCCAGACAGACAGAGAGAGACAGAGAGACAGAAAGCGAGAAATCACCCCCCAGGGGGGATGGTCACGCCTCAATCCCTTCTCCTCCATTCTCCTCTCGGGATCTTGGGCACACACGCACACGTGCCCGGCGTGAGTTTTAAGCCACCGGGTCCGGGACACGAACCGCGGTCAACTACGTGGGAATCCAGCGACATAGCCATTACGCTAACTGCTGGTTCCCAATGCCGTACTATTTTGATTAAAAAAATTAATGGGAGGCTGGCCCTGTAGTGCAGCAGCTAGGCACTGTTAGAGGAAGCTGGATCCCACGTGGCTGACCAGCGTTCAAGTATAGTGGTCCCATCAGATTGGAAAACATGTTGGGTGCATACACATGTGCCCAGGATCCTGACAGGGTGGAGAAGTGGAGGAAAAAAGGATTAAGGCATGACCAGGCCCTGGTGGGGATGCTTTCGCTTTCTCATATATGTGTGTACCCTTAGGCATAAAAACAAACTAATGTTGGGGGCTGCTAAGTCTGAATGCTGGTGTCTGCCCCAAATTCCTATGTTGAATCTTTTTATTATTTTTTAATAAATAAATCCTTTTATTGAGAGGAAAGACAAATGCACTTACAATATTCGATTCTGGGATCATATAATCTGACTGTGAGACTTTTTAAAGCAGCAGTATTTCAGGAATTACAATTTATAAGGGGAAACAACCATTTCAAGTATGTTTTTGTTACAGAAAATACACCTAACCAAGAGGCAGAAACACTGGAGGCTAAGGTGTACTAGACCTTTTCCTCCATCTCTGTAGAAAGAGTCAAAGTACATTTCTGCCTCAAAGACGGAAGGCTGCTTTGAAAAGGAAGAAACAGTAAGACACAGAGCTTTTCATCAGAAGGCTAGGATGTTTGCAAGTAGAGCCTCACTGGGCTTCTAACGAGACATATACCACGCAGTCCCAAGCGCATGTGTGGATTTAACTGCAGACACGTTTCAATCTGAAAACCACTCCAGCCTTTCAGTCTTACCAGGGACTAGGAGGTGATCAAATCCTTTCAAGTCCAGTAATGGTTTCTGAAATAAGACTGCTGAAAAAAGGAACTCTAGTACACTGCAAAGAACATTCCATAGAAATTCACGTCTATGAAGGAGTAAACACAGAGGTTCCTTCTGTGAACAGTGTTCTCTACAAAGGTAGCGTTCTCCAGGCCCTGTCATAATAGGGTTAGTTCTGCAGGGCACCTTATGTAAGTCAGTTCTCAAAGTTTAAGTATACCTGACAATCTCCAAATGAGGATATTACTTTTTTGGAGAACATTAAACACAACACTAGATCTCCATTTGTCAATATTATCATAGTTTTCACAGATTGTATCATATTTTAAATGCAAGTACCTGGGACTGACAGATGGCATGGTAGTTAAGAGCACTGGACTCCCGTATGGCTGACCACAGTTCAAGTCCTAGACGTGGCAGTTTGCACCCTCTCTCCCTCCATCTCTGGTCACGTTAAAATAAATAAATAGGGACCAGCAGATGGTGTAATGGCTATGTCACTGGGGTCCTATATAGGCGACTATGGTTTGAGTCCTGGACCCGGTGGCTTAAACTCACGCAGGGTGTGTGTGCGTGCATGCCCAAGATCCCAAGAGGACAATGGAGGAGAAGGAATTCTGGTGTGGCCATCCTCCCTGGGAGGTGATTTCTCACTTTCTGTCTCTCTGGTGAGCACACGCACCCTATAGCAAAAACCTCTCCAAAAAAAAAAAGTCAAATAAAATAATTCTAAAAAACTTTTTTAAAATAAATAAATACAGGGAACCAGCAGTTAGCATAATGGCTATGTTGCTGGACTCCCACGTAGTCGACCGCGGTTCGTGTCCCGGACCCGGTGGCTTCAAACTCACGCCGGGCGCGTGTGCGTGCGTGCCCAAGATCCCGAGAGGAGAATGGAAGAGAAGGGATTGCGGCGTGACCATCCCCCCTGGGGGGTGATTTCTCGCTTTCTGTCTCTATGTCTCTCTCTGTCTGTCTGGCGAGCGCACGCGCAGTGAAAATCTCTCAAAAAAAAAAATAAATAAATAAATACAAAAGCCAAACAAGACAGAAATTCACAAGACCAAACCACTATACTTTATACTAAGTCTTTCCTTCTTTAGGTGAGTAAGGTGGGATGTTCTTTGTGTATCAAGATTTAACTGAAGATAACAAGCTATAATATATTTTGTAGACATGTTTGTAAATAAATACTATACATTTCAATTATGATTTTATACTTGTGTTGAATCTTAATGATACTATTAAAATGTGAGGCCTTACTAAGGTGATTAAGTCAAGAGCCTCACCCATATGTGGGAGATTTGTGCCCTTATAAAAGAGATTGAAAGAATCTGTTCCCCAACCCCCGTTCTGCCATGCACAGATGCAACAAGGGGACACCATGTTCAAATCAGAGAGCAAACCTTCACTAGACACCGAATCTGCTGACACCTTGATCAAACAAATATTCATTCATTCTAAGCACTGAACAAGTGCCCAAGGTGTCCAGCAGCTCAGCGGTCCCAAACCCCTCTGAAGGTTGAGATTCATTTGGGATGAGTTCTTATAGATCCTCGAGCTCCAACTAGACCTGCTGCATCAGAATACCCAAGTGAGAGTTCTGTCCTGTATCACAGTCGTGGCGCACACCAGGAGACTTATCGCGGGGAAACTGGGTACACACCATGCTTGACTGTTGGGATCTGGCAGGGAACGCACATACAGAATGGTCTGCAAACAGCTCAGCAGAGCAGAGAGGAAAGGAGACAGAGTTCGTCTCTAAGGGAGAGTAAGGGAAGGTTAGTCATGGGTGCCTAAAGAGCTGGTGGGACCAGCAGGTGGCATAACGGTTATGTAGCTGAACTCCAACATAGTCAACTGTGGTTTGAGTCCCAGATCTGGTGGCTTATATTCACACTGGACGTGTGTGCATGCATGCCTAAATTCCTGAGAGGATAATGGAGAAGGGATTGCAGTGTGGCCCTCCCCCTGGGGGATGATTTCTTGCTCTCTCTCTCTCTGTCTCACAGGCGAGCGTACACACCCTATAGCAAAAATCTCTCACCAAAAAAAAAAGTTGGTAATGGGGACAGATTCTAGAGACAGGGCGGGTATGATGGGAGACACAGAAGGGTGACAGCAGTTTCCTAATTCCAAAGGCATTATCTTAGTTTTCATGCCTGACCACTCCTGTGTCCCCACCCTCCTCTTCTCATCTTCAAGGACACTATTCATTCTCAGTTCCTCTCTGGTCGCCTGGCTACCGCTGTTCACTGATTCAGTTGAACTCCACAAGTCAGGCCTCAGTCCCAGTCCTTGTCGCTCCTCCTCCGCCCATTTCTCTCCAACCCTCTCCCTCAGAGAAACCATTATTTTCAGTAGATTCCAATGCATATTTCTCTCTTTTTAAATATTTATCTAATGGTATGCATTTATTATGATGATGACTTTTAAATTTGACCAAAAAGAGACAGAGAGGGGAAGGTCGAGAAAGCAAGCCGCTAGGTCTGATACTTGAACTGGGGTAGATCATGTGGGAGTCCAGTGCCCTAACCACTATGCCACCTGCCTGCCCCACCAATGCGTATTTCTTACATATACAGAATATTCTACTTTAGTCCATTATTCATATGGACTCAACATGTCTAAAGCCAAACTCAGTTCATCTCAAGTATTTACCCACTTGCTTCTTCTAAAATCGAAGGCACAACTCTAAGTTACAGAGTCACCTCTACGGCCCCCCACTTCCTCTCGCATAGCCATCGGAAGGTTCCAAAATGATTCTTGACAGCAGCTCTGGGCTCTAAGCCTGCCTCCGCCCTGTCTCTGACCCCTTCGCCCCTTGTCTGGATTGCTGGACGCCCTGTCATGTGGACTCCCCTCTTCGTGGACTTCTCTTGTACCAGGCAGCAAGAACTGCCTTCCTAAATCAGCACTTTCCACATGTCACACCCCAACTCACTAATTTAGAAAGCCTCAGCGTCTCCCACATCAAATCCAGACTTCTCTGCCTCCCTTTAAGGCTCTCTGTAATTTAACCCCACCCTAGCGACCCAGCGTTCCTTCCCACCATTTCTCAGGAAGAATTCTTCCAGCTGGTGTCTTTTCTGTGCCTCCACACATGCACTCTGACTTTCCACCTCTGCCTGCTGTGTTAGTCTCTCCACTCGGAACGTGGGATACATCCTCTCTTTGCTAAGTCTTTTCCCACCTTTTGGGGCCAGGTCAAATCCCATCACCTTTCGGGAGCCATTCTATAGTGTGACCAGGTTGCCTCTCATTTCTGCTTGTGACCTTCTCTGTCTGGATAATTAGCACATCAGACACAATCCTGCTGTTTAACTAACAGCTCTCGTCAACAGCTGGAAAATTCAGACTTTCACCTATTTTTTTAAAATAATTATTTTATTTGACTTTGTTTTAATTTGGCCAGAGAAGGGCAGAGAGAGAGAGAGAGAAAGCAGCTGCCAGGTCTGGGACTTGAACTGCAGTTGGCTATGTAGGAGTCCAGCGCCCTCATCCACCACACCACTTGCCAGTCCTGACTTTCACCTATTTTTGTAAATAGTGTTATTGGAACCCAGTCACACCAACGTGTCTTCATACCGCCTAGTGTCATACCGAGTAGCTATGTGGTCCTCAAAGCCTAAAATATTTGCTACCTGATCCTTTGTAGAAAGTTTACATTCCTGGGACCAGCAGATGGCATAATGATTATGTCGCTGGACTCCCACATAGCTGACTGTGGTTCGAACCAGATCCGGCAGCTTAAAACTTATGCCAGGCCTGTGTGCATGTGTGCCCAAGACCCTGAGAGGAAAATGGAGAAGGGATTGTGGCATGGCCATCCCCGCTAGGGGATGATTTCTCGCTTTCTGTCTGTCTCTGTGTCTTTCCAGCGAGCACATGCACCCTAATGCAAATCTCTCTCTCTCTCTCAAAAAAAAAAAAAAAAAAAAAGCACATGTTCCTTTGCGGTATGTTTCAGTGCTGTGGTACCTCAGTATGTATGATGCCCCTGCCTTCGTGAATGGATAGTGTCTTTTTTCTCTCTAAGATTTCTGCACCCTGCAGGCCTGAATGGTATTCAGAACTTTCCTGCGATACCACCAAACTCACCTGGCGCCGGTCAGACCTCAGCTAAACAGCACTTCAGCCTCAGTGCAGGCCCGTCATGCTGTTTACCAGCTCATCTCCCCTCTAGACCTCACAGAGACCCTGCTCCTTAAATGCTTAAGAGCTGGGTACTCGAGATGAGGGGACTTCAACAAGTCTGTGGGAAGTATGAGTTTATTTTGGTGCCCCAAATTCCGAAATCCATGTTTTTCCAGAATATGCATTTTACACAAACTGTTGCAGCCTCTCACACATTTCCTGAACGAATACTTCTCTGTACCATGAACAGCGAATGCAGAGCTGAAGGGCCCAGTGAAACCTTGTCAATTAAAGAAAATGAAGACACCGTCAAGAGAAGTGAGGATGAATGGCACCTAACTTCAAACTCCATGCAAGAACCACCTCTCAGGGTCATCAGACGGGACTTTAAGCACATGGGCTTATTAATAGCAACAGGAAGCCCAGACATACCAGCAGTAAGTCTGATGATAATCAGATGCAGCAAATCAATCCCACCAGAAGGCCATGTGGGAAACGCTGAGCCAGCAGGCTTTTTAAAGGGCAGAATAATGGTGTTCTACATTTCCACAGGGCGCTGCAATCTGGGACACGCTTTCACAACCCTTACCTCATCCTCGCCACAGCTCTGGGGGATTAACGACGTACCCAAGATCTCGCAGGAGGTGAAGTAAAAAGTCACACTGGGCCTCGCAGGCCTCAGCTTCTCCCGTCATCTGGATCCCCTGCTCCTTACTGGGGGCCCCGGAGGGCGGGCCAGGATGCTCTGGCTGGTAGCACCCAGCACCTCACACTTCTGATTGCTGCTGGGTAACAGCAGCCTCTGCTCTGTCACTGCCAGTGGGACATGTGTGAGTAGCACATGTCAGTGTGGGGGCAGATGTTGCTGTGTTCTCATGCCTGTCCCCATGGTGGGATGTCATCAAGTAAGAATGCACTTACTTCATCTTATTAAGCAAACCGCAAGCATAAAGATGCCTATTTCCAGGCTACATACGTTACATAGAAAAATCACAACCACAGATGTCTGTGTTCACACAGAAAGAAAGAAAAAAAAAGGTCAGGGCCAGCCCGGAAACCCAGTGGTTAAGGGAGCTGGATCCCATTTTGCGGTTCGAATCCTGGCTCTAACAGCTTGAAAAACACATTGGGGGCCAGCCCATGGCATGGTGGTTAAAGAGGCTGGATCCCACAGGGCTGACTATGAGGTTCAAGTCCCAGACCTGGCAACAGAAATCACATGGCGTGTGTGCGTGTGTGTGCCCAAAACCCGGATAGGAGAAGTGGAAGAGACTATGTGACTATCCTCCATGTGTGGTACTCTCTCTCACTTCCTCTCTCTTTCTCTCTCATAAGTGCACATACGCTCTGCAAAATTTTTTAAAAAAATAAAATAAAAACACAGTGGGCACATGTGCTTGTGTGTCCCAAATCCCATCAGGATGGAGAGAGGAGAAGGGATAATAGTGTGACCATATCTGATCAGGGGGTGCTTCTTTCCTTCTCTCTCTCTCACTCTGGCAAGTGCATGTACCTGCTGACAACTGAAAAATAAATAAATAGAAAGGCCGCCCAACTATGATTAGCTTCTTCCACATTCCTATTCATTTTTTATAGATAAATGACAGCAAGCATCAAATGTTTAAAAAACAGTTATTGAGAACATAGTACCGGCTGACTTCCTATTTTCTGTTCATTAGAAAAGACAGCTCTGGTTTAACTTAGTATACATGAAACCTTAGTTTAGCTGCAATACTACACCAAGGACCAGCTTAAGAATTTTTTTTGAGAGAGAGATTTTTGCTATAGGGTACGTGCGCTTGCCAGAGACACAGAGAGAGACAGAGAGACAGAAAGAGAGAAATCACCCCCTGGGGGGATGGTGCCGCAATTCCTTCTCCTCCATTCTCCTGTAGGAATCTTGGGCATGCGTATACATGTGCCCAGCGTGAGTTTAAGCCACAAGCTCCAGGACTCAACTACACTGGAGTCCAGCGGCATAACCATTACGCCATCTACTGGCCTCGATACTGCAATTTTTTAAAGATCTGAGTTTCCCTCCTTGAGAAAGAAGATGCCCTGATTATACAATGAAATGATATCATCGTAGTATACTTTAATAAATTATGAAAAATTATATCATAGTGTTTTTAAAAACACCACTACTTACTTCATCTACTACTACAATTTTTATGCCGTGGAGCTCTACAGAGCCCTGCTTGATTATGTCCAGAAGTCGCCCAGGGGTCGCTACGATCACCTAAATAAAAGAAAAAAAAGCAAATAAAAAATTTGAAAATGTTCATTCGTTTATCCATCCTATATGTACTAACTGGCTGATATGTACCAGATATGTACCAGACCCTATTAGGTAGTCACAGTGCAGTAATAAGTGAGACACACTCTCTGCTCTTATGAAACTAAAAAAGGAAGAAACAGATCAAAGAAATAAATGCTCATGAGATAAGTACAGTATGCAATAGACGAAGCAATCTGTCCTGCCCTACCTAACACAATGAAAGCATTAGTGGGAGAGAAGAAGGTGAGTGTGATCTAGGCAGAGGGAAAAGTAGCTCTGGGATTCTCAGGCTGGGAGGCCCAGGGGTGCTCAGGATGGGAGAATTCACAGGGGTCGGATGGAGAAGCAGGCAGGGACCAGGAAAGGCTCTGCAGGCAGTCTGACTGCTACTGGGGTCTGTGAACAAGTGCAAATGGGCCTGTTATTTCGCTTTTATGTTAAAGGGTTGGACACAATGATTCCTAAGGCTGCTTAAAGCTCTTAACAGTTTTATATTAGTTGAAGTAGTGGCTAAACGTAGGGGATCTTTAGTCAAGCTTGGTAGGCATACTGGCTCTAGTACTTAATAATGGTGTGCATCTCTGTTCTCCCATCCATAAAGTAGAAATGATAATAATTATTGGGAGAATTAAATGAGACTGCCTGGCAAGAAGCACAGTGGGGTTACAAATGAACTAATAAATTCAATTGCATTCCACTTTTCAAATACATATCAACAGGCTGGGAAAAGCCCTGGGAATGATAAAATCTCATGGTCACAAGGATCTGTCTATCGGCATCCTTGGGGCAGCAGGGTTCTGCCTAGGTACTTCAGAACCATCACAGACACTTAAAGCCACTTTAATTATTTGAACTGAGTTCACTCCTTCAATCCCTTTTTAGTCCTCTACGGGTCTGGAAGTTACAAACTCTTTTCTCATTCTTTTTAATTTTTTAAAAGAATTACTTATTTAATTTAATAATTATTATTTTAAGTTGACCAGAGAGAGAGACAAGGAAAATGAGAAAGCAAACCACTGGGTTCAGGACTTGAGCCACAGTCAACCATGTGGGAGCTAGAGCCTTAATCATCATGCCACCTACCAGCTTCTTTCAACGTCTTCCTTTGAACTTTTATTATTATATATTTTTAAAGCTTTTTGCTATAGGGTACATGCACTCACCAGAAAGACAGAGACAGAGAGACAGAAAGCGAGAAATCACTCCCCAGGGGAAATGGCCATGCTGCAATCCCTTCTCCTCCAATCTCCTCTTGGGATCTTGGGCACGCACGCACATGCGCCTGGCATGAGTTTGGGCCACCGGGTCCAGGACTTGAACTGCGGTCAACTACATGGGAGTCTAGTGACCCAGCCATTACACCATCTGCTGGTCCCATTCCTTTGAATTTTAATAGACATATATAACTTAAAGTTCAATGTTAAGGCCAGCCAGTGACATGGTGGTTAAGATAGCTGGATCCCATATGGTCAACCACACAGTTCAAGTCCTGGATCCAGCAGCTTGAAAAAAAACACACTGAGCAGGTGTGTGTGTTAGTGCGTCCCTAAAATCCTGAGAAAATGGTGAAGGGACTGTGGTGTGGGAATCCTCCCAGGGGATGCTTTCTCACTTTCCCACTCTCTCTTTGCTGAGAACATATGCTATCACAAACTCTAAAAAAAAAAAGTTCCAAAGTTAATTAACATTTTCATCTTTTCTTGAACAATCAAAGACAAATGCTTCAAGCCAAGCATATCTTTCTTGTACTTATCCACTACTGTTGGCCAGTATATTTTCCTTCAACTTTTAAAAACAACCTCAGAGGATTGTTCATCACTATCACAGTTTTATTGAGCCAACAATCATCCAGATGTACCACTTAATTATTACATTGGGTCACTGGAAAAGTCATAATGTATTTTTCTGTTTTCTATGCAAAAGTGCATCATGACTTCTCTAATGACCCAATATTTTCTTTTTTTTATATTATTTTCTTCCTTCCTTCCTTCCTTCCTTTCCTTCTATTTTAATTTGACCAGAGAGAGAGAGAGCAAGCCACCAGGTCTGGGACTCAAACCACGGTCAGCCATTTCGGAGAGTCCAGCGCCCTTAACCACCATGCCACTCGCTGGCCCCAACCCAGTATTTTTTTGGCTCTCCAGTCTTTCTTCCATCCCACACGTTCCTTTCTAGAATCATCTTTACCTGGAGGGTATCTTAGTTTTGAAGTTCCTTTAGGGAGTGTATTGGTCATAGTCCTTCTGCTTATCTGAAAAGCTCCGCATTTTGCCCTTGCTCTTGACAGGTAGCTCTGCCGAGCAGACAGCTGTCCCCGTTCTTTCTTCCCAGGGGCTGGCTGTGAGGGCATGAGGTGGCCCTGTGGAGTGGGAGAGGCTGTGGGCTGAAGAGGGGTCTGCACCCAACAGTGCCCACAGAGGGCACTGGAGCCGAGTGGTGAGGAAAGCTTGTGGAGAGGAAGGCATCGCTGTGTGGGAGGGGACAGCAGCGATCGGGGAGGCAGGTTCCATAAAGGGGGACGGGTCAAATACATGCATGCATAGAGGGAAGGGAGTGGCAGGGTTCTCCCTGTCAGTGACATAGACACAGGACACCTGACATGAACCCTGCTGTGTTGAGTCGAACTGGAAGTATCAGCGTGAACTCATGGTCCTACGGTCTCCAACAGAGATACGGAAACACACACTTAGACATGGGCCCTGAGTCTGTCCACTGGGCAGTCCCAGAAGCGCGATGGCTCGACAGCAGCGAGCACAGGTCTTGGTTTCTAAATACTATCCTCTACTAGAAAGAACCAGCACTCTTGGGTAGTGCGTGATTCCGGAGCCGGAGGGGAAGACAGGTAAGCGTGTGCATCTTCTCTGGATAAAATGGAAAGAAGTACTCAAAGAATGAGGAGGATTTGATGAAAGGATACAGAAACCCTTGAAGGTCCTTCTACTGGTCAAATCGGGGAGAACTAGAGGATCAGGAGAAAATAGTAACACATGATTACCCTTTGGGTAGAACAGGAAACCATGAGTTCGTACTGATGGAAACAAATGAACAAACTGAAAGTCTGGTGAAGCTCAAGAAATATACACAGTCCCAAAGCATTCCTCCTCAGACATTTACTGAATACAAAAAGGAACTATGATTGTTACTTCACAGAGAACATCGCCAGAAAAAGGACAAATTGAAATTCTGTGCACCTAAGAGGATGCAATGAAAAGAAGAACTAAGTGTATTACTGTCAAAGATATGTAACTTGAATGTAACCATGTAAGGGATGTTCTTCAAAGTGAATTGTAAACCCTAAAAAAAGGACAGAGGAGGAACTGTTCCAGATGGAAGCTGATAGAGACATAACAACTAAATCCCATATATTATTCTGAACTGGATTCCTGTGCTATTAAAAAAAGACGAGACATACAAGTATAAATCAGATCTAGGGAGTGGATGATATCAGTGCTGATTCCCAATACTCCAATGTATCCATGTTGATTTCCTGATTCTATAATTACACGTGGTTATGTCGGATAATGCTCCTGTTTGTAGGAACCCCACTCTCAGGTACATGGGGTTGGTGGGACATCACATTAGCAGTTACTTTCAAAAGGCTCTGGGGAAAAAAACAATTATTTATACCGAATTTGCCACCTTTCTCTAAGTTTGAGATTGCTCAAAGAAAGGTGTGTGAAAACATTGGGCCCAATCATATGTGTTACCTACTAAATGCTACAAGTTAGAGACTACCGTTAATGCATTAACTTATTTTTTAAAATTATAGGAATGCAAGATAAATTGTTTAAAAGCTATTAGAATTTGCAGTTACTTAACCACCCACATGACTCATAGTGCCATCTGCACAACAAAAAATAAATTTAATACTGAGACTGATAGGAAATCACAGTTAAACACCATTAACCCTGGGGCCAGCAGGTAGCATGGTGGTTAAGGCTCTGGACACCCACATGGCCAACTGCGGTTCAGGTCCCAGATCCAGAAGCTTGCTTTCTCGCTTTGCTTCTCTCTATATATCTCTCTCTTTGGTGAGTACACATGACCTGTAACAAATTAAAAATTCATAATAATTTGTTATCATCACACCCAGAATGATTTTCAAGCTGTTGGTCTGAGACCTGAACTGTGGTCAACCATGTGGGAGTCCAGTGCCTTAACCACTACACTGTCCCAATCCAATTACAAATTTTATGCCCATCAAAAACATTTCTACTGTTGGGAACCAGCAGTTAGCGTAATGGCTATGTCGCTGGACTCCCACGTAGTCGACCGCGGTTCGTGTCCCGGACCTGGTGGCTTAAAACTCACGCCGGGCACGTGTGCGTGTGTGCCCAAGATCCCGAGAGGAGAATGGAGGAGAAGGGATTGCGGCATGACCATCCCCCCTGGGGGGTGATTTCTTGCTTTCTGTCTCTATGTCTCTCTCTGTCTGTCTGGCGAGCACACGCGCCCTACAGTGAAAATCTCTCCCCAAAAAAAAAAAACAAAACAAAACAAAAAACATTTCTACTGTTTATTTTATAACTATGTATTTTTAAATGTATAATTTTCTATTAATAAAATACTACCTTTATCTGTTTTATACTATGGAGATCCAAACTGAAAAATCACAGATCCACTATCCCATTAATTATTGATCTATAATTAAAAAAAAATTTTAGATGTTTTAAATCCATCAAATAAATTTCATTTCATCTTCACATCATTTCTTTAAGAAAGGCTGATATTGATCCAAAACAGTTGACTACTACCGCTAACTGCCCTGCCACCTCAGGGCCTCCCCTAGGACTCCAGCACCTCCCAGGATCTCAAACGGTTAATGCCTAGCAGAGCAGGGGACCTCTAAGATCCAGCTTCTGCTCCAAGGCTGTAGTCCACTACGAAGGGTTGGCTTCTGCATCAAACCTCAGTAAACATGTTTACTTTAAAGACAGGTATCTTCAACTGCCCATTCAAACTAAAAAAAAAAAAAGAAACAAAAAAACAGGTTCATGGATGTGAAGTAATGCACCTATGGCCATAGGGCTACTGAGTTCCAAAGCTAGAGCCGCCCCATAGCATAACGGTTAAGCACTGTGCAGAGGAAGCCAGATCCCGCAGGACCAACCAGAGCTCCCATCCTGGCTCAGGCAGCTGACTTGCTGGGCATATGTGTGTGCCAGGATCCTCCCAGGATAGAGAACTGGGGCAAAAGAACTGAGGCCCTGTTGTGGGGTGCTCTCTCTCCTTCTCAGGTGCATGCATGCATCCTCTGGTATAGTAAAAGAAAAACTACTGGGAGAAAATAAAGTTCCAAAGCTAGAACCAGACCACAATCATTTACATACTTTTATATATCAAAAAATATAGACTACACACAATAGCACACCTCAGGAAGGGGCAGAGCTAGTAAACCCAAGTTTCGATTTTGCTGACTATCATTTCTTGGTTTGGGATCCTTAGAGAAATCTCCTATTTCTGAGGTTCAACTTGTCAACCATAAAAGATGGTGCTGCAGTTTACATGTCAACCAAAAATTCATGTTGGGACTTGGCTGCATGGCAAAGGTGGTAAACAAAAACTTAATCCCATCACGGTGTCACAGAATGGGGACTTCGGGATAAGGTCATGAGGTCGAGGCCTCTATGACTGAGTTCTGTTGTGTTTACAAGCGGAGAGACCAGAAAAGGCAGAAACTTACGGACAGATTCTCTGCTCAAAGCCTGCCCTCCATCACATTAGAGCCTCACCAGAAGGTGGTCCCCGGACTCTGGACCTTCAAACCACAGATAGAATAAGCCTCTATTTCTTTTTTCTTTTTTTTGAGAAGTTTTTGCTATAAGGTGCGTGCGCTCGCCAGACAGACAGAGACAGACAGAGAGACAGAAAGCGAGAAATCACCCCCCAGGGGGGATGGCCACGCTGCAATCCCTTCTCCTCCATTCTCCTCTCGGGATCTTGGGCAGGCACGCACACACGCCCAGCGTGAGTTTAAGCCACTGGGTCCGGGACTTGAACCATGGTCGACTACATGGGAGTCCAGCGACATAGCCATTACGCTAACTGCTGGCCCCAAGCCTCTATTTCTTTATAAGTCATCCAGACCCAGGTATTTCGGTTAGCAATGCAATACCAGACTAAGCCAAATGAGGTAGCCAACCCACCTCTACTAGCAAACGTGCTGGTCAAATGAAATGATATCCAAATCCAGTAGCAATTGGTGTACAACAGGTACACAATAAATTGTTTCTTTCCTTTCCTATGTAAAACAAACTCAAAAACAAACAAACAAAAAAAAGGCTTACCTGGCAACAATTTTAACAGCTACTAAAATCACACCTAAAAGTTCTTCAAGGGAAAAAAAAATCCACTAATTCCTACAGTCTTACAAAACTTTCCAAAGGCAGTGTATCAAATCAGGGCTCACCCTTCTTTTTTATTAACTTGCCAATGGGTGTATGCACTCACTGGGAGTGGACACACAGAGAGAAAAAACACCTTCTCCCCACAGCTCCCATCCCCCCAATAGGGCATGATCACATCACAATTCCTTCTTTTTCATTTCTCTGTCCTGTTGGGATTTGGGGCATACATGCACATGTGCCTGGCTGACTTTCAATTTGCTGGGACTGGAATTTGAATCATGGTCGACCGTGTAGGGTCTGGTTCCTTTAGCCAATGGGCTGCAGGGCTAGTCCAAACCTGCGCTCACCTTAACGTGTTGTCGCAAACGGTGAAGCTGTGGGGGCAAGGGCAGGCCCCCTACGAGAAGCACAGTCTTCATGCGTGGCAGGCCACTCATCAGCTCTTTCGCTTGCCTCTCTATCTGAATGGCCAACTCTCTTGTGGGTGTGAGAACGAGTGCGGACGGAGTTTGGCTCTGCAAGACACGAGAAACAAGTCTAAAAACAGCAGTAATGATGTCTGCTGATGCAAGCTAAGTCACGGTGATTCATGGAACATCTCCCTCTTGAAGTGTTGCCATCAGCCTAAGTACATAGGAGGTCTCCCGCCTTCTGCTCCCTGCAGATTTTTAATCCAAAAAAATCACAAATTGAACCCGTGTCTTACATAATACAGATGCACACTGACAGATCAACACTGGGGCAAGAGAGACGCATCCACATAACCAAGGTGGGAAAACGAAACGTGTGCTCCTAGCTAATTAGACCCTGTAACCTCTAACCATCTCCTCTGGACTCACAGAAAACCTGACAGTTAAAATGCAGCATCCTTCCTTCAACTGCCCCTCTCAGCCTTCTTGTAGGGCCATTTCTTTGGTTCAAGAACTTACTTTCAGATATGAGGGGTCTTCAAAAACACCTAATACGCATTTCATAGAAAACGCATACTGTGTAAAAACTATGCATACATTTCAAAAATTATTTGCACCAAATAATTTGAATTTGTACTTTTTTTCTTTTTGGAACAGTTTTTGCCATAGCACATGTGTGTTCACCAGAGAGGAGAGTGACAGAGAGAGATGGTGAGAGGGAGTGAGAAATCAGCCCCCTCGGGGGAGGGCCACACTACAATCCCTTCTCATCCATTTTCCTCCTGGGATTCTGAGTATGCATGCACATGCACCGGGTGTGATTTTTCAAGCCACCAGGTCTAGGACTCGAACCACAGTCGGCCATGTGGGAGTCCAGTGCTTGTCCCTGAACTTGTACTTTCATTGCATTTTTACACACATTTTCTTGACGTTCTTCATCTGTAAATAAATAAACATATCCACATCCTGTTTCCTGCCCTGTAGCTCTGTTCTGGTCCTCTGGCCTATCTGATCTCTACTTTGCTCATCTGGCGCTTTCTTAAGTATTATTCTCCTCACATTATTTTCTACCACTTTTTAGTTTCCCAAATTCTCCTTTATCATTCCTCTCTATTCTCATCTGAGTACACTTCCCTCCTCACCATACCCACAAGCTCACCAGTACTCGGCAAATAGTAGCTACCCAAAGTGCTTTTAAACTAATTATGTGTGACAGGGCTTTCCATACTAATAATTAACAAGGTAGTATTATTTTAAGATGAATCATGGATCCCATTTAAGGGTACATTTTGAAACTCTTCAATACAATTCCAACTTGGGCATAAGTCAGTCAATTTCTCCAAAACACACCATTTACAGAGGCTAAAGGGACACGACCACAGCTCCCCTGCTCAGAGATTTTCCCCCAAGTCAATAGCTTATTCTTTGAAAGAAAAATCTACTGAAGAATTTGCAAGAAAAGCAATTTTTAAAAAGAAAAGTATGTATTTATCTATTTATTTATTGTATATTCAGGCGACTGGGTCTGAGACTTGAACCATGGTCAGCCATATGGGAGTCCAGCACTTCAACCACCACGCCATCTGCCGACTCCAAAAAGCAATTTTTTTTTTTTTGGAGAGGTTTTTGGTATAGGGTGCATGTGCTCGCTAAAAAGACAGAGAGAGAGAGACAGAAAGTGAAAAAATAACACCCCTGTGGGGATGGCCATTCCGTAATTTCTTCTCCTCCATTCTCCTCTCAGGATCTTGGACACACAAGGGTCTGGGACTCGAACCGTGGTCAACTACATGGTAGTACAATGGTGCAGCCATTATGCCAACTGTTGGTCCCAAAAAGCAATTTTTTAAACCTTTGATGGAGAAATCTTTGGGTCACTATAACAGAAGAAAAACTCCCTAACCGCCCGTTTTTCATACAAATTATCATCAGAAGCAAAATCACTAGGCACACTACTGATCTAAGTTCCAGATAGGTCTGAGCTTGCCATTTCCATAGAGCGAAGTATGAAACCCAGCAAACACCCCGTTTGTTTCTGACTATAACACATGTGAACCCCGTAACTTACTTCAAATAAAGCTCGGATGATAACGGGAAGAAGGAAAGCGGCGGTCTTTCCTGAGCCAGTATCAGCACTGGCCAGGATGTCTCTTCCCAGAAGCCCCACGGGAATCATTTGCATTTGGACAGGGGTTGGCACCTCGTAGCCTGACTTCTTCAAGTTGAGATTTAAGGCCTCGGGGAAACCACAATGTTCAAAGTCAATAATGGGCCTGGCGACTTGCTGCCCTTGAACTGAAATTCCCAGCTGCTGTTTAAGATTTTCTATCTGGTCCTCTCGAAGGTTCAAAATAAAGGGGTGCTCTTTGTAGACATACAAAGCATTAAGTGGAAAGACTGGCTCAGGGCCAGCCTCCTGTGGACTGCTGAGTTTTAATTTCTCTTCCTTTTCCTTAACTTGGAGAAGATGTTTTGCTTTACACTCCAAGCTGCACACATCTTCGTCCGTCTTGTCACAGATATACTCTCCATAACGCCCACAGACAACACAGACGGGTTCCCCAGGTTCCGCCCAGCGCTGGGTTTTGGAAAATGACTTCACAGGCTCCTCAGCAGGGTGGCTGTCCTGGGAACCCTGCTCAGATCCTACCAAAGAAACCTCAGCCATTTGGCCAGCTGGCCTGGGCGAGGGGCAAGGTTCACTGCTGTGCCTGTGGGGTGTTGTAGCTTCTTCTGTCGCTAAAGCATCAACTGGAACATCGCTACCTTTGTCCAGCGGAAGGTCGTCTGCTTCTGGTTTGATTTTCTTAGCTGCACAGCTTTTGCCATCATCGCTAGCAGTCCTCTTGATTTTTAAAGATCTTGGAACAAACATCTTTCAATATTCTGTTCAGGAAATTACATGAGATTTAGTTTGACCCTCAATGAAGTGCACATATAAAAGAACCCTCTGATTATACTGGAATCAGACTAGTGTCCCTGGACTTGGCCTAAAAGAAACAGTAAAGGCAATCATGACACTATTTATTACCAAGCTTTTCTTCCATTTAACAATTTCCTCTGGTAAAGAGCCCTTTCATCACACACGCCGGGGCAAGACACTGCACACTGCTCAACAAGGCCTTGGGCAGATCTGGGATTTCTGATCACCTGCACTGTGCAGGACCAGGTATTACAGAAATCCTGGAATAAACCCTTCCATTACAGTTTCATAAGAGAAAGTGGATGTTTTGTGATTAGAATCGTTCAAACCAAAACTACAAACCATAGAGAAAATTGTCTTTATGTAAATCATGCTTATTTAGTGCTTATCTGCCAAACAGTGCCCAGTACTTTACCCAACCTTCAGGAGCATGTAAAGTAGGTTAGTACTCCCCTCCTCTGTAGACGTGCACAGATACACATTTTATACTGTTATGTATTTCACACAAAGTATTGCGTGGCATATTATGTAATAAAGCACAGTAAAACAAACGTGCATGTGAGTGTGTACATACACAACGCATTCGACACATGAAGAAATTCAGCCGCCTAGAGATTAAGCTCACACCACTCTCCAGTGGAGAAGCCGGGCACTGGCTCCAGAGAGCGAGCAGTAGCTATACCTGTCTACACCTGAAACACGCTTTCAGAAAGTAGTACTGATTGGGAAAGAATACTTCTAACCTAATTTGGAGAGTATCAACTACATTCATGGTTTTCTCGAAAAAATTCTTAGGATAAATTGCCAGACTCCATTTTGCAGAGGGGAGGGGGAAGAGGAAAATTGCAACTGAGGGTGTAGAACGACTATCCGCGGCTCCGAAAACCTAAAGGGCTGGGCGGGGAGGGGCAGCCGCGTGTGCGCAAGGAAGGTCTGGAAACTGCCACTGCAAATGGCGAAACAGAACAGGCTCCGGAGGGCGGCGGCTGCGGCTGGCCTCCTCTTCCC